ATAATATTCCTATGTTTATTTGGATTTCGACAATAAAACTAAGTGAATGAAACTTATCATACGAACGTTTCAATTAATGCAATCAGCTTAAACTAGATATAAATATATAGTTCCCTGTTTAAATTTGTATATTATTCAATAAATATTCAATAAATATTATTATATATTCAATAAATTTGTGTTACATGTTACAGTTACCAACTTTTTAACTACAGACAGTTCCTCCTCAGTTGTTGAGTTGAGGTTGTTAATACTCTTAACTTGCAATGCCGTTTAAACGATATAGATATATCCAAAGTGACAGAATGTCGTTTTTGCTTGAAATGGAATGGAGTTTGTAGTCATATTATTTGTGACTTTTCTGCTTTGGTTTGGTAAAAAAATATTAGGAATTTTTCTATGATCGATCAATTATCTTTCATTTGGTAAGGGCCAGTTGTCACGCTAAAGATCTATTATGTCAATTACTAAAAAGTATAATTTACAGGAATTATTATTATAATTTAAATATAATATATAAATATATCATTTTCAGCATACTCGTATTTCAAGAGTAAAGTAAATATATGGAGAATTTTCAGGAAATAGTGTTTTAAAAATATATTTCAGTTATGTTATTTCAGAATATATACTAGGTTGTGAATTAGTGAGATATAAAACCATTATTAGATTATTTAATTGTTCATACTGTTACATAAAATTTTAACAATTTCACAAAAAATTTAAACAATACTGCAGATAAGTAAAGCTTGTTAGTCGCAGAGACTTTAATATTTTTTTTCTTATAATAATACACTTTTTCCCTTTAACTTAATGTTTGGCTCCTATAGGGATTTGTGTATAATCTTTGAAAAATAGTGCTTCAAAAAAGCACATTAATGAAGTTTTCACAGCCCATTATTATTTTGTGGTGGAGATGTGTATATAATTATTTTCATTGAGTTAAGGTTGTCGTTTGTATTTAATAGATAGTATTCTACATTTAACAAACATAATTTTGAGACTGACTAATGAATGATATGATAATATGATCAGCGAAAATTTTGCGTTTTCAAAGTTAAAAAAGTGACTCAGAGGGCAAAACTACATAACAATTGAAGAGGTTATGTTCGTTTAAATGTCCTAAAGACTATGAGGTAGTTTACTGTTTAGAATAATCAAATAAGTTGGAGCATAGTTAAGAAAAGAGGACATTGTGACAAAAATAAATAACAACAAAATAAATAAAAATAAGAACTATTCCGTTGGAAACAAATTTTTATTTTGTTATAAAAGTATAATATCATGATCTATCTGAATTCAATTGATTTCGAAATATAAATTTTTTATTTTTTCTTTACAGGGAACTTTATGCAATAATAGAAAATCATAAATTTACAAAGGCCTCATATGGAAAACTTCAAGCAATGTGGTTAGAAGCGCATTACATTGAAGCAGAGAAACTGCGTGGCCGATCGCTAGGTAAGTGAATATATGGTTAGGAATTAATATTTAAAAGATACCTTTTACAAGACAATTTTTCTTGCCAAGAGAGACGCGTCTTTATGGCGAAAAGAAACTATTTAAAAGTTAGAAGAGTTTAAGTAGAAACGAAAAGACAACAACAAAAATTTAGTTAATTTTATTGATATTTGGCTGACCATAAAACGCTGTTTCGAGTATTGCCATCCCACTGACAATGAAAACTAACTAAATTTTTGTTGTTGGCTTTTCATTTCTATTTGAACTCTTCTATTAATTTTTTTTTTGTCATATATGTATATATTTTTCAAGAGAAATGGAAATAGTTTACTTTTTTCATAATTAAACGAAGAAACTAGATTCTGATCATTTGAAAACAAGTGCATATGTACTTATGCTACCACCATATTTTTTTTTCTTTTAAGTATAGTTGTCACCTTACAACTCTACTCGACTTTGTTTTTCCTAAGCACTTGTATTCTCGTTGTCTCCATTGAGCATTATTGGACACCGCGATTTCATTTTAAATGTGTAAACTCAATGCTTTCGAACCTGGTATGTCTTCTATATCATATATATCATTTGCGAAGATATACAAAATGTCCTATATAATGCACCTTAATATTCACTACTAGAAAGTTTCTTTTCTATTCATATCACATTCCTTCCACAACATGTTTTCAGCAAATAACGGCAATCATAGTACTATATTGATTTGTCTGTTCGGTCACTAATTTTATGATTATATCTAAATTTTTAGCTGTGTAAAGATTCATCCAAATTTTTAATTGTGTAAAGATTAAAGTGCCGTTGTTACTGTGAAGAGCAAGTAATATTATATTTTGAATTATATCATATGGTGTGAATCAAAATGAAATTTCTGGTGTTAATTTATTCATTTCAAAATGTTAAAATTCTCTACTTCATTATCCGAATATTATTATCTCAGGACATCGACAACAGTACACGATATGTTCTTTTCACGAGATCACTTGCTCGCGTGGAATTGATATATTGCAAGTCATTGTCATTGAAGTATTATTTGAATTTGTTAGATCTAAGTTTAGTCTCTTTAATGGTAGTGACAGAAAACGGTATATTCAAAACGAATTTTAATTTTAGTACCATTTACTGCTTGTAAAATAGTAAGTTTGGTAAATGCATCAATCAAAAAAATGATATATTCAATTTTTTTTTAAATTAACCAATATGAATAAGATGGGGGTATTAAACGAAAAGGAGCTTTAAATCTATAAAATTGAAATCGCAAAATAGAATATTTACTAATGACTTCTGCAGCAGTTGCTGTTATTGTAGATATACCAACATATTTTAACATATTCACACAATTATACCTATTCGGAAACCCTGCTACTTGTCAAAAAGTAATGTCTCATCACACTATGATAAAAACTACAATAAAAAAAACAAAGTAACAGAATTTTCTATAGATCTCTGATAATGGATATGTAGAAATATCCGAAACACCTGTATGGTCAGCCAAGAATTTATTTAATTAAAAAAATTTCTTTTGAACTTGGATATTTTCTCACTATTATTACTAAAATTTTATGCAATATATCGTTATTCGTTATACTTTTGTAATATACTAGTACTTGATTCATGCTAATTTATATAAATTATTATTCCATTTGAAAGTTGTATAGATTGGTTTAATTTTTGTTAATATCAAATTTTTCGTTAAGGCAATACTAAATGGATCCTTATCAAATTTATTATGATTTTAAGGTATCACAAGCAAACTTAATAGTTGTCTTTTAATGACAAGAAAAAAAAAAGTAATATAAATTGGCGATTCTACAAATTTAGTACTTTAAAAAAATATGGTATATAATATTCACTAATAAAAAGAATTATAAGTAGTAATAAGTAAGGGCTTATGATGAAGGTATGATGAGTAAATAATACTTTTGTGTAGCTACCGACTTATGTTTGTTTTATTATAAATTAGTACTATATAAAATCTTTGGATTATAATTAAGCTGATTGAATATTAAAAGCAATAAAAGTGTATTTTTTCGGATCTAGATCTATATGTAGCAGATGAAAAATGAATAATTAATTTTCTTACTTACTGTATAAGAGAAAGTATTTTTATTATTTATAAAAGTATTTTATTCGAATCTGTTATATGACATTATTTGAAATCTGTCTATAAGAAACGTTCGTTATTGACAACACTTTACGTTTAATATTAATGTTAAATAATATAAATTTTAACAGTTACCATAGATTATTCCAATTTCAAGAAATATCTATTTATCATACATAAATTCATTAATTGAATTTGTTTCAAAAAGTCGAAAATTATATATACATGAGTTTATTTTTTTATAAAAATTCATCAAATTGGTTTCATATGTCGCATTAATACCAGGATCATTTGGAGCTCAACAAGAAAAGTGGAAAAGATTCGAATGCAAATATAAGTGATATCTCACTAAAATTCTGGACTTCATGTGAGAAGTCAATGTGAATCTTAATTATGCTATAAATAGTTTCTTCATATTTTATCAGGATCGGTTTAGTTATGAATACAGTTTCTACATTGTCTAATGAATCCGAATTAAGTTGTTTGTGAAATTTGAAATTTATTGAAGATTTATTTGTGAACAAATTAGAATTATGACTTATTCGATAGCAAAATTTTTTAAATAATTTGTTCAATTTTTTTAAAAGCCGAATTATTTCACATAGTTTTCACAATTCCGAATCAATTTAGTATGTTTATTTTTATATTAAATTTTTTTTATAAAAAAGGAAAGCTGCTTTTGTTGTACACGTAATATGCAAAACTGAAATCTAGTTTTTTTAACCCAATTAATAACGTAATTTTTAAACAACATAATTATTACCACATTAACCCTTTATACAGCTTTTTATTTGTACCAAATAAGAATTATAATTTATTCGATTTTAACACTATTTGAATGGCTTAAACGATTTTTTTAGTATTCCAACAATTTGATACAAATGAGTTTCGTATAATGAATATTAGTAATATTAAAATTTAATAAAGATTATTGAAAATATGTATTTATAAAAGCAAATCAGTATATTTTCTTGCTGTTAAAATTAGAATTCACTTGTTTAGCGCTGTAAGATATAAGGTGATTAAACTTATATCTTACTTCGTTATATATATTTTCATTAATATGTTATTTTTTTTAAGAACAGCCATATTTAATAAAAATATCAGAAAAAAATTAAATAAATACCTGTTTCATATTAATTTTTAGGTCCCGTTGATAAATATCGTGTGAGAAAAAAATTTCCTCTTCCTCCAACAATTTGGGATGGAGAACAAAAAACTCATTGTTTTAAAGAGCGTACAAGAAGTCTTTTACGCGAATGGTACCTTCAGGATCCTTATCCAAATCCAACGAAAAAACGTGAACTAGCAAAAGCAACAGGCCTTAATCCAACACAAGTTGGTAATTGGTTTAAAAATCGTAGGCAAAGAGATCGTGCAGCAGCTGCAAAAAATAGGTAAGTTAATATGCCTTCTTAAATGAAATCTTTTTAATAGATAATAGTTAATTGAATAATGTAATCAATATCTTATACTGGTATAATGACAACAATTAGAAGGGAATGCAATTTCAAAGCACCGTGCTTTGATTATTATTATTGATACATGAGAATAAAGGCATTCCGCACATGAAGCTATCACAATAAATTAACACTAAAGTAGTTAATTTATGATATCATATGTTAACTTCTTGTAAGTTTGTAAATATATTGTATCATATTTACATATAAAACTTAAACTATGATTGTATTTAAACCACAAAAGCCACTATTTTTTCACTATATACACACCACATTAGTTTTAATAATTTACGTACATACATACCTATATTACATACATACATACACTCAACATGCAACTTGACAATACGCACCTTCGCCTACATTGAAATATGTTAAGCTCCAAAGCACTGTGCGAAATTTGAGACATGAGCTAAGAAATAAGAAATCCAGTGTAACTGCCGGCAATCCGATACCTTCAGTTACTACAACATGGTTACTGCCATCATACATAAGTTATATTTGTAGCTTCTACATCACATACACCATACATCACATACTAAGATACTAAGATACTTATGCATACATTTATGTACTATGAAAGCTTTGAAGCATTTGGTTGCATGCAGATGCCGCCCGTGGCGTTTCAACTTCATTGAACCGTGCCGAACACACTTTTGGCGGCAATTGTTTTACAAGCGTTCTCAATTTCTGTTTTGTGGTTTGATGTTCCCACATAAAAATGACCGCCGCGTTTTCTGCTCCTACAAAGTATTTAATAAATTATTTATTGTACACCGTCGTCGTATTTAAACAACTACTGAATTCATTTGTACTTGTACTATGTGTGAAAATTAATAATAAAAAATTATATTTCTAATTTTGACAAAATTAATAAGGCATATGAATACATAATTTTTATTTAGCTTATTATATACATTTTTGGACAATATAAATTTTATTTGTTTATTACGAATAAAAACATAGTAACAAACATTATTATTATATTAAAAATTATGTTAGTTAGTTAAATGGTTAAGGTGGAGGGAGGAATCCACCGCTATAACCGCTCGTTATAATGAGTACAAGAAGGTCAAGCTATAACCAACCATAAGCATCAATAAATGCGAGAATCTGACTAATCCTAATACTGGAGATATCGCTGAGTGTATTTTAAGGCAGGGGTCCTCAAAAAACTTGAGCGTAGTTCTGGTCAAGACTGGACATAGACACATATAGGTATTCTGGTGTCCTTTCTTTGAGACCCGAGCCTAGCTCAATGCCGTTCTATGAACCAGTTCGCTATAAAGACAGATATTAAACTCAATACCTCTGATTTGCTTATGTGTATCAAGTCAGAGGTTCTACATTTGAAATATATTGGTCATATAGCCCTTGATCTGACTGCAATAACGATATGGGTCCACTCACTATTTGTCTGTCGCAAAAAATGGTCATAAATCAACCTCCGACCGTAGCTTGTAGGAACAGGGATTGAAATAAGAGTTTCCGTAGAGGTACCCAGTCTAGCAAGTTCATTTGCGTGCTTATTTCCTTACTAAATTAGAATGCCTAAGAACCCAAACTAGAGTTAACTTGGACCTATCACTTAGTGCGTTAATAAATTCTCTACATTCTTGCACTAATCTGGATAAAATACAGACCACTGATAAAGCCTTTATTGCTGTCTGAGTGTCAGTAAGAATATAGACTTCTTTTCCACGAAAGTTCATGTTTAGAGTAAATGAACATGCTCTAGGGATGGACAAGATATCTGCCTAAAATATTGAGGTAGAATCGGATAGATGATAGAATTTACTAATCCTTAGGTCAGTAGAAAAGATTCCGGCTCTAACACCTCTGTTCATCTTAGATCCGCCGATATATACTATCGTTATCTTTCATTTCTTTTGCTTTACACTCTGATTAATAGTTCTTAATAAAAAGATATGTTCAAAAGCATTGATCAGGCAGCAGGGTCGTATGATAACTCTGATTAAAGGGTTGTCTGATAGCTTAGACCCAAAGAATATTGTTTGGTTTTACACCATAATTTTTACTAATAGAATTCTTATCAAGAAATAAAGCCAATGCCGTTTTTAATTGAAAATTAATATAGCTGATTTACTGATGACATTAAATGGTGAAAAATGTAGCAAAAAATGTATTGCTAAAGCTGATATGCACTTAATTTTTTTTGACCTGATTAATATTCAGTATTAAGAAGTTCTATATATTGAATCTGATTACAGATTCAATATTCACAGTTTTGTTTTTCACGCCATTTGTATGTTTCTCAATAAATGGTAGGAGAGTAGAGAAACCTTTCCACTCCACTTAATATTATATTTGTCATTCCATTTAGATATATTTAAAATTATAAAAATCTTAATTTCCTACAATTTTTCTGAATATGACACAGATCGATTGTGGTATTCCCTAAATTATTATTGTAAACAAAATTTCTCTAAAATGTAAAAAGTATTTCTATAATACATAATGTCTCTTAGAGTAGTAAGAAATATAATACTTATTACCTTAGATATATCATCTGTAATGTAACTTCTTTACAAGTGGCAATCGGTGTTTTCCAATTCTAATATCATTATTAGAATTATTATTAATATTAACGGCTTTTAGCCAAAGCAAACTTCACCACTTTAATTTTAAATTAAAGTGAAGAAAAATAGTATTTTTATATTAAATGAAATGTATGAAAACACTTTCAAACCTATGCATTTTTTATGTTTTGAGTTCAAGC